AAAATGTGACTAGATTATAATATAACACAAAAATGATTTTAAGTCATTTTGACAAGTTTGTTTGTTTTGATATATTATACAAACATAATAGTAATCATTTATATATAAATATAAAGGTAATAATATAACATTTAAAAGAAATGGTTTACATGTGAAGAGTATAAATGCAATAATAATAAAAAATAATAAATTTATATGGCAGTCTCAAGAGTTCAATGAAAGCACATAAAAATTAGTATTGTTACATAATAAATTATAAAATGCAAAAATTGAAAAAATGTRATTGGTTTTCAAATTATTTTCAGCACACTTTAAGTAGTATTAATGTAAATTTTCAGGAACAATATTACGACTTTTCATGTAGCCAACAAGTTGTGCTGGTATTTCTGCTAAAACTTCACGAGCTAGGTATGATTTGGCATTCATCGGATTTTCAATTTGTTGAAAGTTTTTAAATGGYACAAACTGCACTATATCTCTGGCCGCACGGACTCCATTGACTTCTAGTTTAACTGTATCACCATCCAATTCTTCCATCGATTGAAAATCAGCATTTCCCACTCCTACAATGATAATGGACAGCGGCAATGTGGACGCTTTGATTATGGCCTATAGAATATAATCTAATTTATCAATCTAGTTTTCTAATAGTAATGCTTATAATTACAGAAGGTATGCAACATTTTGGTGAAAGTGGAAAGTTTTGCATCTTTTGAACTTAAAGATAATTAAAATTTAATTTTTACCCTATTGGTAATCGATTTTAATAAAAAAACAAATTRCTATACATGATAATATTTTTTATTATGTATAAATGTTGGCAATAAATAGGTAGTATACACAAATAGTTTGCAGTGTTTTATTTATTGGTATTCATCAATAGATACAATAGACATCACAATATAAACCAAACAATGTATAGTAAACAAAAAATAARTAAWAGCTATTAAAATTAACAATAGTGTATTGACTGTGCTAAARAATGTGTATCATGAAAAAATCTTAATCAATTACAATTTTGATTAAACTTATTTTAAGCTATCCAAGTAACCGTGGGTTTTGAAAGAGAAAATATTT